TCTTGGCTGCCGCTGCCGTCTTGTTTCTCAAGCTTGTCTCCCTTCATGATTTCGCTCTTGGCTGCCGGTGCCGCCGTGTTTCCCAAGCTTGTCTCTGTTCCTGATTTCGCTCTTGGCCGCCTTATCATTTTCTTGCCTGCCTTTGACGCGGATGCTGTTATAAGATGATTTAGGTATTGTTTACCTTTTCCATCCTTTTCCCGGCTTTCAGTGGGATGTCTCCCAAGCTTGTCTCCCGCTCTTGCCATGGTGTCCAACTTTTCTTGAAGTGCTATCTGGGGTCTATGCCGGTATAATTTGTCTATTTTGGTAGTTTGCCAGGCATGTATGCAGGGACAGTGGCCAGTGCTTTGCGTAAAGCCTTTGGAGACCAAAGAGCGGTTTCTTGGCTACATGATTACATGTATCTTGAGACCCTGCACTGTAAGTTGTTCAAAGCTTCATGGTTGAAATGACATTGTTACTATTGAAGTGAAGATGCCTGGAATATGGATGTTCCTCGTGTTCAGATTGACTTCTTGAAATCCTCAAGATCGCTTTGGCAGCAGGGTCCATGTCAGGCAATCTGAAGGGACATTTTAGAGAAAGGCATGACATAAACTTGATGCTCGAGTGCCACTTGCCACGTGATACCAAGAAGTTGCCACGTGATACAAGCAGAGTTTGGAAGTTGCAGGCCAGTAGAGAATATCCAGAAAGCACTCAAGGCTGGCAGCTCAAGCACATCACTTTGCGCAACATCAAGCTACCTTAGAGAGCTGAGCTTTAGCACACTTTCAAGCTTCATATTACAGTATTTTTTTGTTCATTGTGTTTGATTGGGTTCATTCCCTTTGTTGCTCTGAAGGTGTGCACATCCTTGGAGAAGCACCTGGAATCGTCGTCCTTTTGAAAGAGGCAGACGTGCGCACGGTGGCTTTGCCCAACCTGCTGACTTCCAAAATGCATTGAAGCTCCGCCCAGTGCCAGCCAAGGAGGCACTTGTGAATGCAGCAAGCAGCAAGCTGAAAGAGGACGGGACCTTTATATTTCTAGCAGTGCTCTGAAAGCTGCTTAGATAGTCAAGGAAGCTACTAGGGGCTTCTGGCCTTACTACTAGGAGCAAGGACGCTACTAGGGGCTCCTGGCATCGCTACTAGTAACAAGGAAGCTATATACTAGGGGCTCATTTGGTTGATCCCAGAGGGCGCCCGGCTGATGCGCAGGAGCTTTTCGTGGTGTCCCGGCTGGACAGGCCAACATCTGGCCTATTGCCTTTGGCGAGGAATGTTCCAGCAATGAATTGGCTACAGGCCACCTGCCACAAGGATTGTTCCGGTTCCCTCCAGAGTTGTTTGTGTCTTCGGGTCACACAATCAAGGTAACTTAAGCCTAGGAGGTCTTGAAGCGTGCAGGTTTGGGATTGTGCAGCTGAGGCCCAGTTTTCTGCTCGACTTGTGCAGAAGGAATATGCCACTTGGTGGAGCGACTCTGACACTGCGACACTGACAGTGTGACACTGAGTGGAGCCACCGTCAGGTTTGCCTATGCGAGGGGGAGTCCTTGGGGAAGATAGGCCAGGTAGCTTTGCACTCTGCATTCTCATCTCTTTGTTGCTATATTCAAAGACAAGTGACGTGAAAAATCGATAGAAGGCCATGCTTCTGCATCCGAATCACTGTGGTACAGGTACACGTGGAAGTATTGAGGAGCCGCTGCATGCATGGATTTGGCCTGGCGAAGTTGGCAGGACAGTTCTGAAATGTGAACTTCCTAGTACCGATGCCCTTTGCTCCTAGTAGCTTCTTGCTCCTAGTAGTAAGGACAGGGGCCCCTAGTAGCCTCTTTCCCAGTTCTGAAATGCACTTCCAAGGTTCCAAGGGTGGACCCTCGCAGAGTGCTCACAGGACGGAAGTTGCTCCTTTCGGCCGGGAAGCCATCACACAGTACCAGGTAGATGGGCGCTTCGGTGATGGAAGAGGCGAAGGCTCACAGTGGTCTGACACAGTGACAGATTCAAACGTAAAAGCCACCACTCGAGGGTCTGACCATTTCCTTGGTCAGGTTCACCGCTGGAATTGATGCTACTCTCAGTGCATCCGAAGACAGGCAGTAAGATGAACCGATGGAGACGGTCTTGTCTCCTCCACCTTTTATTTAGACGCCTCATGGCTTTGTGGGACAGAGTTTGAGGTTTCCATGTTGCCACGGAAGCAGGAAGTGTCATGAACAGAAGTGTTGCACCATGCACCATGCTAAGATAATAAAAGGACATAGACCCACCACCTCTCGTTTTGCGCAGGGCGAATGCACCAAATTCGAGCACACCTTGCAAGCACAGGACGCCCAATCGTTGGCGATGTGATTTATGGCCCCTCGGCAGGGATAGTCCACTTAGGTTGGAGAAACAGTTCTAAAAGCAAATAAATGCATTCCTTTTCCTTCTCTTTTTCTTAATGTGCTAGGTGCTAGGTAGTTTCTCCTCCCAAGGTAGTAGTCGCAGTCTCTTTGTTTTTGTCGAATGTCAGGACCAAGTCAATTTGCAGTTCAGAGCTTCTTGGTTCAGTTCAGAGTCAATATATTTTCCACATCCAGTTGCTCACTTGCGGTGCAGAAGGGCGCACGTTTGCTTGATTTAGAGTGTTGCATGATTCTATGCGCCTTTTGCTACGTTGGATCTTCGCCTTTGTGCAATCACATCACTTTCAAGGTGATCGCATGTTTTTGCACTGCCGACGTCTGTGCTTGCTGGACCTAGAGGCAAAGCCATTTGAAATTGTGGCCGATTTGCCGCAGGGGCTGCAGGAGCAGTGTCACCACAGCACAAAACTGGAAAGGTCAAAAGACAAAAGATCGCTGGTGCCATGCCTCTTGTCGTGTGAGCCTGAGACTACCTGGAAGAACCCGAGGAGCTGCTGCAGCACTTGCAGCCGAAGTCTGAAGGGGAGGCTGGTTGAGGCTATTCTGCTTTCAATGCCTGGAACGGGTGAAGTGGATGAAGCCGCTGGCTGCACTGCAGCACTGCATGGAAATTCATTGAACTGAAGCTTGTTCCAGGAGCTTGATGTGCAGAAGTTTCAATCGTTGTCAGCACCTGCATGCTTCAGCTTCTGACTCTATCGTTTGTGAACAATCCCAATCAACTCTGTGTAGGAATCTTCAAAAGGCGTAGCAAGCAAATGCAAGCACTGGCTGCATGAAAGAGCCTTTTTTCAGGATGCATTTCACAGTCAAATATGAATGATAGGCTAGGGCTTGGATTGCAGCACTGCATGGTTCTGGACACCGAGGTGTCATGAGGTTGAACCGTCCCAAAGAGCTGGTGCTGACTGTGTGCGGCGGGAGGCCCTGAAGCACTTTTCAGTGAAACCCGTGTTGCAGTCATGCGATTCAGGAAGACTGTAGATCTGGCCACTGTAATCATCCACTGCCTTTCCACCATGCTGCGGATGAGCACAAGACCACTTTGCATTTGTGCAGGCAGTGATGTTTCAGGGCAAGGGGGTGATGATTGGATCAGAGGCAGGATGTTGTAGAAAGGGTCTATGCCGCGAGCCTTTGGGCCAAACAAATACAACTCGAAGCTAGGAGGAGTGGTGTAGCTTAGAGATTCCTTTCTGTCCCAGCGAACTTGTTTTTGGTGCTACTGTGTTGAGAGACAATATGTTCCCTCAAGTGATCAGTTCCAGCTATAAACGTTGTCTCATTTGTTTCTCCACCAGCTTGATGTGATATGATGTGATAGTTTTTGGTGCTTTCAACTGCAGGGCCAGCGTTTTCTTGTCTTCAAAGGGGAGATTGTAGCTGGTGCAGAGCTTTGTTTACAACTCAACTCAACTTTGAATGACAACGCAATCTTATTAGAACTCATCAGTCATCACGCTGGCCCTTGTGGCTTTTTAGAGGACCGGATGAATGACCAGCGCCGCCAAAGCGAGCGAAACTTCTCAGACCTGTTTGGTACTGCGAGCGCCAGGCACTGTGCTGCACTTTACTGTGACAAGCACTGATCAAACTTGATTTGGCACTGGCCATCCGGCAACCTGGGAGGCCATTGCAGCTCAATGAAGCTGGCCGCAGCGAATTTCACTCGTCCGCACCTTTTGCTTTTAGGGCGGCCTTCAACAGGATGTTTTGCATATGTACCCGAACGACTCCCACCCTTGTGTGACCTCCTGCAAACTCACTGAGAAGCGCGACAGCGTCTTGGATGGATTCTACAACCGAGACGTCTGCCAGGACCTGGATTTCTCTGAAGTTGCTGGGGTTTGTGTCCACCGGAGATTTCAATGAAGTCTTCACAAGTCCTCCGGATGCCGTCAGGAATTTGCACCGCCGCAGCTGGGCCCTTGGTGGCAGCACGGAAGGATGAGGACCCTGGGCCTCTTTGGACAATAGCAGCTCCAATAGCAATGGCCTCCAACCTAATAAGGAATCTAATAGCGATTGCCTCCAACCTAAAAGCGATGGCCTCCAACCTGATGGCCTCCAACCTCAGAGCCATGGCCTCCATGATAGCGATGGCCTCCAACCTGATGGCCTTCAGCCTGATGGGGATGGCCTCGAACCTGATTTCCTCCAACCTGATAGCGATGGCGTCCAACGTAAGAGCGATGGCCTCCTACCTGATATAGCGATGGCCTCCAGCCTGATGGCGATGGCCTCCAACCTAAGAGCGATGGCCTCCAACCTAAGAGCGATGGCCTCCAACCTAAGAGTGATGGCCTCCAACCTAAGAGCGGTGGCCTCCAACCTAAGAGCGATGGCCTCCAACCTAACAGCGATGGCCTCCAACCTAATAGCGATGGCCTCCAACC